TGATATCCAGTGACATCTAACTTTCATGCATGTATTTGACAGTGTTTGTTCAAGTTAAAAATAAAAGTTTGTTTTAAATGAATAAACTGAAACATGGGAAGATTTCTCAATCAATAATGCTAACTCAAATCTCTCCTTTACCTCTTTGTTTTGGCCCACCATACCTTCATTGAAAGGTATTACTTTCCACCATTTGGTAAGATTGTTTGAAATTCTTTGACTGCAGCCAAAAATCAAGTAAAATGTCAAGTTTAAAATCATTTTTGGAAAGAGAGAGATGGGGCTCATCTTTAGATCTGTGTGTTGTGGCTACCGAGCACTTTTCATGTGGCTAGTCTGATTTAATATGTACTGTAAGTATGAAATAATATTGTATATTTTACTTTTTTTTTTTTTCGAGACTGAGTCTCACTGTGTTACCCAGGCTGGAGTGCAGTGGCGCGGTCTCACCTCACTGCAACCTCCGCCTCCCGGGTTCCAGCAATTCTGCCTCACCCTCCCAAGTATGTGGGACTACAGGCACCTGCCACCACACCCAGCTAATTTTTTGTATTTTTAGTAGAGACAGGGTTTCGCCGTGTTAGCCAGGATGGTCTCGATCTCCTGATCTCGTGATCTGCCCATCTCAGCCTCCCAAAGTGCTGGGATTTCAGGTGTGAGCCACCACGCCCAGCCTTACTAATGTTTTTTATACTGATTACACATTGAAATAATACTTGAATTAAAATATTAAAGTTTTTGTTGGTTTCTTTTTTTTTTAATGAGGTTACTAGAACACTTAGAATTACCCATGTAGATCACATTATATGTCTGTTGCACAATACTGCTGTAGAGCATGGTTCTGAAGGAAACTTCATGAATGGCCCAGGTTGCCTTGAAGCCACATGTTATTACTGAGCTTGGGCCCAGCCTTTGATCTGAAGCAGTGGTTCTCAAAGTTTGGTCCCCAAACAGCATCATCAGCATTACCTGGGAATTCTCAGACTATACCCAGGAACTACAGAATCGGAACTCTGGGGGTAGGGGCAGCAATCTGTGTTTTAACACGACCCCTAAGAGCTTTTGATGAACACTAAGGTTTGAGAACCACTGGTTTCAAGCAACAGAGGAAGAAGCTGAGCTTCACCTCCTGTCACACCAGCCTTAATTCACTAGCTTGGGTTTGTTTCAGGTAAACTGAAAGGGACAGCAAGGGCTGGGCTGGGGAGGAGAGTAGAACTCACAGGGGCTGAGGCCTAGAGGGGAAAAATGCATAAAGGAAAAAGTCGGGTCCAAAAGGATGCAGACATGATATCATGTATATGACTTCTAGGAAAACATACAAATGACCACCATAAATTGATTGTGGGTAAGTCATGTGCATGTAAGAGATGCATACAAATGTAGCATACAGAATACAGAGAGGTGTGCATTCGAAAGACAAGCATATTTGTGGCTGGGCGCAGTGGCTCACCCCTGTAATCCCATGCATACAAATGTAGCATACAGAATACAGAGAGGTGTGCATTCGAAAGACAAGCATATTTGTGGCTGGGCGCAGTGGCTCACCCCTGTAATCCCATCGCTTTGGGCGTCCGAGGTGGGTGGATCATCTGAGGTCAGGAGCTTGAGACAAGCCTGGTCAACATGGTGAAACCCCGTCTCTACTAAAAATACAAAAATTAGCCAGGCGTGGTGGTGCACACCTATAATCCCAGCTGCTCAGGAGGCTGAGGCAGGAGAATCGCTTGAATCTGGGAGGCGGAGGCAGCAGTGAGCCAAGATCGCGCCACTGCACTCCAGCCTGGGCAACAAGAGCAAAACTGCATCTCATAAAAACAAAAACAAAAGAAGAACATTTGAGATGATGGTTACCTCTCAGGGAAAGAAAGGGAGGGGCATTCTAGTAGAGAAGGCTCCACAGCAGACATCAACTGTATTTGTAATATTTCTTAAGCTGAATAGTAGACACATGGATGTTTATAGTAATGTTTTCTACAATTTTATGTAGGTCTGAAATATTTCTAAAGCGGGAGGGGGAAGCATAGCAGTTCTTCCCACACCACTGGGCAGGACTTAGAGGAGTCTGAGAATTCTAGAACCCAACCTGGCCTTTGAGGTCATTATGAAGGTACATTTGTCATGGAAGGAGATAAACCATTAAATAAAACATGCTGTATTCGTTGAGCTAAACATTTCAAATATTTAGGCATATGGTATGTGGATCCCAAGTTGAACTCTTGTTCTAAACCCCGAAAATGTTACAGGTGAGCCAGGCTCAATATCTGGCCTGTAACCCCTTTTCCTTCCTCCCTCCACGCCACTCTGTTACCTGAGCATAGTGGGGCCCCTTGCTTCTGAAAAGCGCTTGTTCCAGTAGCCCATCTTCCTGTAGGACTTGGACTTCGTCCCTGACCCAGGCTAGAGTGCAACCACCAACCACCTTGTCTCTTCTGCTCGCCCCCCAACCACACCCCTCTTTGCTCTCTAGGTGTTCAAATGCAAAACCTCTGCAATGGCCCTTCTCCCACATGCCAAATATCAATGCACACCTGAAAGCCATCACTTTGGTCAGGCACACCTGCGTGGACGCCCTTTATTCGCAGCCCCACCTCTTAAGAACAGTTTATTTCTCTGACAACCTTCAGCTCTGAGTTGTCTCTCCTATTTGATTTCCTTCCCCGTTACAGACAGGGAAGGACTACAGAACAGGTTCCACTGTATTTGTCATGTAGGGAAGATCAAGGAAGCTACAAAGGAGCTGAAAACTTGTCAGAATGAGCCTCTGGGTATTTAAAAATGAAATAAGAAAACCTCTTCATTTAAAAACAGAGCTTTGCTCTCGCCTGCCTACCCTCTCCCTTTCTTGCTCACGATTTTGCTCGCCCTCTCCTCGAGGATCAAGGGGGCTCTGACCACAGCCTGTGGCTGGGAAGGGAGACAGGCGGTGGCTCAGGGAAAACGAGGCTGCAGTGATGGTGGTAGGAAGATGTCCGGCAAGGACAAGCAGCAGGAGCAAACTATCACCAAGGACCTGGTCATGACCAAGTATAAGATGGGGGAACGACATAGCCAACCAGGTACTTCAGTCCTTGGTAGAAGCATCTAGCTCAGGCGTATCGGCACTGAGCCTGTGTGAGAAAGATGATGCCATGATTATGGAAGAAATAGGGAAAATCTTCAAGAAAAAAATAGAAATGAAAAAAGGTATTGCTTTTCCCACCAGCATTTCAGTAAATAACTGTGTATGTCACTTCTCCCCTTTGAAGAGCAACCAGGATTATATTCTCAAGGAAGGTGACTTGGTAAAACTTGACCTCGGGGTCCATGTTGATGGCTTCATCGCTAATGTAGCTCATAGTTTTGTAGCTGATGTAGCTCAGGGACCCAAGTAACAGGGAGGAAAGCAGATGTTATTAAGGCAATTCACTTTTGTGATGAAGCTGTCCTATGCCTGGTCAAACCTGGAAACCAGAACACACAAGTGACAGAAACCCTGAACAAAGCTGCCCACTCACTTACCTGCATGCCAATAGAAGGCATGCTGTCACATCAGTTGAAGGAGCATGTCGTCGATGGAGAAAAAACCATTATCCAGAATCCCACAGACCAGCAGAAGAAGGACCATGAAAAAGCAGAATTGGCAGTACATGAAGTATATGCTGTGGATGTTCTCATCAGCTCAGAAGAGGGCAAGACCAAGGATGCAGGACAGAGAACCACTATTTACAAATGAGACCCCTCTAAACAGCACGGACTGAAAATGAAAACTTCACGTGCCTTCTTCAGTGAGGTGGAAAGGCGTTTTGATGCTATGCCATTTACTTTAAGAACATTTGAAGATGAGAAGAAGGCTCAGATGGGTGTGGCACAGTGCACCAAGCATGAACTGCTGCAACTATTTAATGTTCTCTATAAGAAGGAAGGCGAATTTCTTGCCCAGTTTAAATCTACAGTTCTGCTCATGCCCATTGGCCTTATGCAGATAACCAGTGGTCCCTTTGAGCCTGACCTCTACAAGTCTGAGATGGAGGTCCAGGATGCAGAGCTAAAGGCTCTCCTCCAGAGTTCTGCAAGTCAAAAAACCCAGAAAAAGAAAAAGAAAAAAAAAAAGGCCTACAAGATTGCAGAGAAAGCCACCAGTGGGGAAACATTAGAAGAAAATGAAGCTGGGGACTAGGTGGGTCCCATCTCCCCAGCTTGTTGCTCCTACCTCATCCCCTTCCCACCACACCCCAGGCTCTGTGAAGTATAGTTCTTCTTCTCCACCTAGGACCACCAGCAGAGCAGGGGTCTCCCTGCCCCCATCCCAGTTCCCCAACCCACTCCCTTCCAACAACCAGCTCCAACTGAATGGTCTTGGGAGGCGTGGCTTCCCAACCACAGAAGACTAAATGAAAAAAAAAGAAATTGAATAATAAAATCAGGAGTCAAAAAATAAAATAAAAACAGAGCTTTGATTCCAAGACTTTGCTATCGTGAATAGTGCCGCAATAAACATACGTGTGCATGTGTCTTTATAGCAGCATGATTTATAATCCTTTGGGTATATACCCAGTAATGGGATGGCTGGGTCA